TGCAGGCAGCAAAACATGCAGGGGGTGAAGAGACTGGCCAGAGGCAATGGAGGAGGTTCTGAGATCCAGAGCTGAGATGGGTTGTGCCGCTGCCCCGTGAAGAGGGATCTGGCTGAGGAGGAGCTGTGTTGGGCACCACGGGGCGGTTGAACTCAGGGTTATTTGAACACCACCAGCGTGGCAGAGGTGCGGGGTAGGGGCTGGGCAGCAGCTGGGGAAGAGACACAGATAAAAGACTCAGCTGATGTGGTGGTCTCCTGGTGTACTCTGGGGGGCTAGGGCGGGGAGAGGGGACCTGTGGGTCCATGGCCCATGAGTTACAACTCACACCTTGACCATGGTTGTTGTCAGGCATGTGGCTCGTGCTTGGCCACCCCTCCGCTTTCCATTGCTTGCTCTGGTAGGGGGAAGAGCCTGGCTGTCACCCTGAGGATAATTCCTTGCAATTAATGCAAACCAGGAGTCTGAGTGCAACTGGTCCCTGGACTCCATGTGAGGTGCTGGGTGGCTGCTCCCTTCTTGGCCAGGAGGGGAGGAATGTGGAGCCACCCCATAGTAGTGCAGAGCTGCCTTATGGGAATGTGAAGTTGCCAGTCACAGCCCATTCTTGGGATATGGGCCCCACGGTAATTCCCAGCAGTGCTGAGGGATACCTACCTCCTGCCTGCAGCTCTGCCTGTGGTGGTCAGGGCCACACCATTGCCTGTCCTTTCCCAGTCCCTTTGGCTACTCAACCTCCCTCATTCCGAGGGCTCAACCTTCCTGGCCAGAGTCCAGTGGCAGCACCTGTGTCTCCTCGCTTTGGCCCTCACACAGCATGGCAAAAAAAAAGAGAGCATCCCCATAGTTTTGGTGGCCATGCCAAGTACAGGCAGAGCCGTGGAGCTGGGGGGCCCTGGGCTGCCAAGGGGCAGAATCCTGCTCTTCTGCCAGGCCCTGGGGCACACACCAGGGTGCTGGGTCCAGCACAAGGGACTGGGGTGAACTGGGGGTTGTCTAGCAAGGACTGGGATGGTGGCAAAGGGCCAGCGTCCTCTGCAGTGGTGGCTGAGGGGCTCCTCAGTGTGATGAGAAGGGAGCAGAGAGGCTGTGATCCTGCTGTCCTAGGCACACCCTTACTCTGGGATCTGCTAGGCCCGCTATGCAGCTGCAGTGGCAGATGACAGGCCTGTGCCTTCCCCACACATTCACCCTCAGGACATTCCCTGGGATCTTGGCCAGCCACCACACGCAGAAGGGGATGATGGAGCTGCTAGTAATGACTCCCATGGGACCCCCCCCAGGCTGGAGCTGCCCTTTGCCTCACTCTGCCCAAGCCGAGCCAGGTTACTCCTGCACTGGCCAGGCACAAGGGTGCCATGCACATTGAGCAGACGTACAGACAAATACTTTATTGATTACATAGCCTGAGAAAAAGATCTGGGATTTCATAGGAAATGCTGGTCCCAATCACAGCTTCAGAGGAAAAGCCCTGGCCAAAGCAGTCAGCCAGAGGGAGAGGCCGGCCCCTCCACACCACTTGTTCTGGCCTCGGGGGAATCACCCACCAGCAAAACCATCACATGTCACTGGGACCTACGTGTGAGCTCTACCCAGGCAGGGATAACCAGTGCTGTCACTACCACACAACACCACTGCTCCAGACCCATCAGCACGTGACCATAAAGCACCAATGGCCCTGGTATGCTGCAGGGCTCTGCTGCAGGCAGCCCCATCCCTTCGAGGCCAATGCATGTGGTGCCATCAGCCTCCAAAGGCAAACACTGCATCCAGGCACCACAATCCCAGGGGACAGGAACTGAGTGAGAAACCATCCCAGAGGAGCAATGGGAAGTCACATGTGTCCCTAAGGAGCAGCAGTGACACTGCCATGCTTCCTACAGGAATCGCCACGAATGAGAAATGGGATAAAAGCAGACTGGTTCTCCACGCGACCTGCCTGGAGAAGTACAGAGACTCGGGGGTGTCAAATAATTACATCAAGCAATGAAGAAATAAAACAGTCCTGAACAGAAAAACTAAACTCAAGAGTCCCAGCAGCTCCTCTGGGCTGCATGGTGCTGCCTTGCTCTGTACATAGTCTAGTGTGAGGTGTTCCTGCCCATGGCAGGGGGATTTGAACTTGATGACCTTAAGGTCCTTTCCAACCCAAACCATTCTATGATTCCATGGTTCTCTGGCTGCTGGGCCTGGCTTCCATTGCTTACCAGGGTCCCGTTACCCACCTGCTTCAGGGCAGGTCTTGCTCCACAAGCCATTTGAGGTAGCAGAACTAGTCTTCCATAGGATTAGTTACAGCGGGATTTTGCACGTGACTAAAGGAGACAACGTGCAGTTTGGAGAGCGAGGGCTTCTTTCCTTCTGCAGTGGGACCAGGTGACAGCCAGTGTTGATGTGTGGCAGCTGCCATGAAGGGAGGGTTCCTTGCATGTAGTGCTGCAGGAGTCATCTTGCCTGTGAAGTGTTTCTAAAGTGACTCTCCACCTGTGCAGGCTGGTCCTGAGAGGACTGACACTCACAGGCTCCTGCGGGCTGGCCTTGTTGCCAGAAGGGGTGTTGCTGGGACCCTGAAATCACCTGCAGCACCCTCAGAGGTGGAAAATGTTATGGTTTGGTTTGTTCTGTGGATCTTCCAATGCAGATTTCCTCACCAGTGTGGGGTATCAGCCAAGTGTGGCCAGGACATGGTGGGGTCTCAGAGATGCCACGCTCTCTTCATCCAGCATCCTGGTCAACAAACTTTGCCAGTGAAGTGTTCTTTGGGAATCTTGCCTGGCTTGATTCCCTTCCCTCTGTCCTCTTCACTGTGTCATTGTGTTTCCACACACGAGGGGCCATCAAGTAACGGGTGATCAGCTGCTGTTTGCAATTCCTCTCCCTGGCTGCAGGAGATGCAGCTCATGATTCCCCAGGAAGGTCAGCTTGGAAAAACTTGGGGCATGAGCCAGTACACACAAGAGTCTGAGGAATGGCAAAGCAGTTTGGATCACTGGAGGCTTCTGTAATTTGCTGCCTATGGTGCCTCCAAGCTTTTGATTCCTTTAACAATTCAGGAAAGCTCTTAAAATACAGTGGACAGATGGTTCACAATCCCAGTGTCCCACCATGTGCAATATCAGTGCTCACGCAGTTCCCCTCTGGGGACACAAGCAGTTTGGCTCTTTCCCATTATTATTTCTCCATCAGCTTCGAAACCATGGCTCTGTTCCCCAGCCTAACCACGGGCTGGACACCTTGCCCAGCCCAGCCATGGCAGCTCACGTCCAGCAGCCTGAGGTCTGACAAGCTGAGCGGGAGCGGGTTTGCTGGGAACACTTTGGCC